ACCTAATGAGTCCAGGCCATGCTGATGAAGGCTTCACCTTCATATTTGGACCTGGCAGATCTGCGTCTGCGAGCACCTGCAGGACAAGTCTAAAGACAACGAGAGACAAAGTCCAGACTTTAGAAGATCAACACTGATCCTTTCATTCAGGACTGAATCTGCTGAGAACATTTGAGCTTTTTGTGTCAGAATAGAAACAAGAATAAGTGAAAATAACCTGTTTAATGATCGTAACAGAAGAGAGATACATTTGATTGTGTGTGTGATGTGTTTGGTAACAAAGCTGTACCGGGACACAGTTGTTCTGTTTGGGGCACAGGTGCAGTTCGCAGTGCAGGAAAACTTCACCAGAGCTACCAGTAAACTGGAACATACTGAAGGAGAAGTAGTTGGAGGTTCCCAGTCCGTTGTCCTCCACCTGCACCGTCTGGTCAGCAGGGTTGGCACAGCTGCTCACAGACAGGAAAACACACTTTGTTCAGGAGTCCATGAGAGAGATCAAAACCACATGACTCTCTGAGTCTGTCTCACCCATTTATGATCAGGTCGTATCTCGGAGTGCTGTCGGGTGATGGCTGGTCAGTTGCCCAGCAGGAGTCGGTTACCACGACGACCACGTCGCCATCCAGCCCATCAGTCTTCAGCTGCACCCTGATCTTCTGGATCAGCTGCACTTCAGTGCTGGACTGCGCAGCTTGTGTGTGACCAACATCAGTGGTTGCACACATGGTGAGAGTGTAATCCCAAACTCCAGATGTGATGTGCTGGATCACAGAGCTGCAGAACACAAACACACTTCAGCTTTCTCTGACCCACAAACCTCATGAGAAGCTTCGCATCTTAAAGTAATTGCAAGAAAACCAGCAGCCACCACACACCTGTCTCTGATCCTGAAGGTCTCAGTCTTGATGTCCGCTTGAGTTTGGACGCAGGAGAAGTCGATGTAGACTTGGTCGTGACGAGTGATGATGTCAGAGGAGCTGTTCTGGGTCATGATGGTGTTTTTGTAGATCACTTGGCTGTTGTTGGTCTGCAGAGTCACACAATCAGATGTTGTTACTGACTTTTAACATCTGACAATTCACTTTATTAATCCCAAAGTGCACTGAATCATTTTTGTTCAATTAGAAAAAGTGAATGTAAATCATGCTCTGTTTGCTTTATTTGCACAGACACATGAAGCCACGTTAACTTTATTTTCAGTCTCTTTACAGTGATTTTAATCTGAGAACATCAACACTTTGAAGATGATGGACCTCTAACTCAGAAGTATGAAGTTAAGAAAGTGTCCTTGTATTTCAGTCCAATGTTTATGACATCTTGTCATTGATTATAATCACAGATTTCATCAGAAACAATCTGCTAAATAGACACGTCAAAAACATCAAACTCATTCACTTTGTTCTTAAAAGCAACAACAGCAGCTTTAGTCTCCTTTCTGTCTCTGCCATTGACCGCTCGTGTCACGCAGACGAGTCGAGCACATCAAATGAAGTCACATTATTTTGACACAGCACAAACATTAGAGAGTTTCTCCCTGTACTAAATGAAATTCGTACTTGGATGCTTCTGTGTATGAACTACACAGATCGTCAACGTGATGAGAAGCCACAGAGCTCAGAGGTGAAGCTGATCTCACAGAAAGATCCCAAACTGCAGCAGAGCAGGAGAAGCTCAGCAGATGCTGGAAGATGTTTGGCTGCTTGTAGAAGGTAAAGAGGAGGAGATGAAACCCACCGTGACCACCGTCCCACAGCTGTTGCTGCTGTTGAAGCTGAAGGTCACCATGTGGGTGAGCTCGTCCACCTGACCCCTGCAGGTCGGGTCGTTG